GGTTCACACCCTATCACAAGCCAGCAAAACATCCGCGAAACAAAGAAAGGTCTGTCACAGCCAAAAAATACACTCCAGACACGCCGCTGGCACTAGAGGCACAACATGGCCGCCTAGTAACGGCCCCGACCACTGCCGCTCGACCTAACCGGAAAAAACCGTAGCAGGAAGCTAGCGAAGTCGTAGTATATATCGTCACAAACAGAACTGTCCGGTAAACCGTAGGCAGAGAGAGAGAAGAGGACAACAAACGAGGGGCTGTGATATATATATATATATATATAAATATATATGTGTGTATCTATGTTGGATGTTCGCGTGGCCTGAGGGGCCTACGCTTAGGGGTTAAATTGGGGTTGGGATCGAGAAAAAAAAGAAAACCCCCTTCTATTTTGTTGTATGCTTCTTAGAGATTTCTTAGTCGGACGTTGGTCCTGGGCCTGGATTCGAGGTCCTTGTCCAGGACATCCCAGACCCTAAACTCTGCAAGGAAGGAATCTACCCCCGCGCAGAGCCTATTTGAGCTGCCTACCGAGACACACAGCCTAAAGGCCTGAGGTGCCGCGGTGGCTGCACAACTATTCCTTCAGCCGTGCAATATCGTCAGGAAGTAGACCCTCACGATACTTTGAGTTTGACACCTGAGTGTCATAAGCGGTATTCGGATCCACGAAGGACCGCTTGATTATGGGCACTACATAGTACGCCATCATTGCGACTGCTTGCGAATGATTGCATTACTAGCCAATATGAGTAGACTCTGCGCCCGCGCGGTTTTATACTAAGTTTCGCGCGCATCGCCTATCCGATTTCCGCGTCGGAAAGTTATGGGATGGCTACTGAAGGGACGAGGAGTGTTGTCTCGTTGTTTGTTCGTTGTCGTTTTGTATATGTGTGCGGATGCGTGTGTGTTTTATTTTTTGTGTTTGCTACATGGTAATCGCCCGGACGTCCAGACCGGGTTCCAGACAGTCCGGTGTCCGATCCCCATGTCAGGATGGAGGCCCCTGGGGCAAAAAAAAAATAAAAAAAAATTGGGGCGGCCCAGGACGTTTGTCAGATCCTAGCCGCCCCTAGAAAAATAACGCGGTGATTTTTAAGTGTCCTTTTACCCCACCGGACATGGCCTAGAGATCCAGACACAAGACACTGCAGGTTTTTGAGGTGGCGGGTTTCACACAGCCCAGAGCAATTTCAACGCGGCCGTTTCGACGTGGCGCCCGCCACTCCTACCCCTTAGGAGAGGGGGGGGGGGGGGGGGGGGGGGAGAGAGAGAGAGAGAGAGAGAGAGAGAGAGAGAGAGCACTGACAATGCTGCCAGTCTGAAGACAAGGTTCTAAATTGAACTACAAAGCTCGAACTTTTAAGTTATATATGAAGTTAGGAACTTAAATAAGTTAAATTACTAAATCCAAAGTTCAAAGTTCAAAGTTAATCATACTTTTTTTTTATTTTAATTTTTCTGTTTCTTTAGTCTTGTGCCTGCTTTGCACTGTTTGCAACTCTGCATGTCTGTTGTTTAAATGTACTGGTTGATTTGCTGCAAGACACGTGCTCTGTTGCCTGAACTACAGAGTGCAAAGCAGGTAAGTGCCTGCCAACACCCCCACCCAGCCTCCTCCCCACCCCCGTTTTTTTTTTTTTTTTTTTTTTTTTTGGGTTCAAATATTTTTGCACCCCGGGGACCGGTCCGCACTGTCCGGTGTCCGGTGATGTCCGGATCACCGGACAGTCCGGACCGGTCCAGACACTGGTCCGGAAGACAGGCCGGAAGTGTCCGGTGTCCGGGTCCGCGGTTACCACGGTTTGCTAGAGTGGTGTGCGTGTGGTGAGTGGGATACGTCCTAGTCGACCGACGGGCTTGGGACTTCAGCCCCCCCTAAGATGCCGGTTCACGTGTAGGCCCGATAGAGGCGTAATACCGCGCGTACCCCCTATGCTACAACGAACGAGAAACGCCCTCGGGTGGTCCACCTTTGCGATTACAACTAATTAGCTTTCGTATTGTGGACTGGTAGCTTGGCGGGGATACGCCCACCGAAGGGAGGTGACAGCTCCCGTAAGGTGGAGGTAAGGCGTGCCTCGCGTAGGCCCTATCCTATCGTAGGGGCTGGCTGGCGCACTCGGCCAGAGCGGCTTGCGGAAGCTCCTTGTGTATATTCACGACAAGGATTTAGACCAACTCCTGAGTGACGCGGCCGGGAGGGTCCTGTGCTGCCTTGTGTGGTGCCGGACCGATGCGCTCGACACCGCAGCGCCCTCTCACCTCCTGCACCAGCATGCGCCCAGGCCTGGCCGCTTTAGCGCAGCATCGCACAACGTAGCAGCAGCGTGGCGTCATTGCCTGCTCAGGCCTGAATGTAGCTGCCTGGGCAAGTCACTTCCTTTATGGAAAGTGTGGCCCTGTGTCTGGCTGTGTGGGCCTGGCCTGGGAAGTTACCAGTAGCTTCTAGTCAGGCCCCAGTGTCTTCGCCCAGGCCCACCTCTGCTGTTACGGGCCTGGGCCCTTTTCGGTTGGGCACGTTCAGGCAGCCGTCCAGGCTCCAAGTGTTTGCCGCATTCTCATTGGCTCGTGGAGGTTTTGTGACGATAATGCTGCTTTCTCATTCATCCGCATCCACTACGTAATGTGCCGCCCTCCCACTGTGTGTGCCCAGGGCGCAACCAACCGGGCCCCTGGGCTCAACTGTGCAGCACAGCTGTTGCTTCTGGAGGAGCCAGGAAAGGCTCACGTTGCTTTGTAACGAACTGGTGTGCTGCAACTGTCTGATACCCCACATATGGAAACAAATGTCGAAAAGAGGCCTCACGGGGATATTCAGGCCCGGCTTCACTTAGGGGCACAATGCTTGCTGGGGGCCATAGCTCAGAACACTTGTCTGTAAGGGCCCCACGAGGGCTCAATCCTCGCAGTAGCATTCTTGGCGGCAAAATGTCGACATGCTATGCCAGAAAAGAAGAGCAGTCATTGAGGAGGTGACCTCAGGCATCTAGAGGGAGGATAGGCACCAAGCATCGATTCTAGCATCGCTCTTAATCAGAACACGAGGCAGTGTCAAAAATATCACAAAGGATTGTAGCGATGAGAATATTCACTGGCATAAATGGCCAATTACATCACAATAAGAGCAGAGAATGGGCAACAAGTTGTGCATAGAGATTTGTAAACGCAAGCAGAACCCATCCCTCTATCATGGTTGCACTTTCATCAACGAAGGACTAGGATTGTAGAAAAGAGAATGACATGAACAGACTAGTTAAAACTTTTTCTTGCACTAAGAACAAAGAAGGTGCTACTCCAACCAATGGGCCAAGCTTAGTTAGGACACCGACAAACTGTTGCCATACAGACCCAGCCCAGAGACAAATGTGATGAACATTGAACAGAACAAAATAATTCTCCTATAAAAACAAAGATGCTGTTCTTATTAATAGAAGACAATGCCCGAACGTTGCCTTTTTCTCAAAAGAAAGTCTTCCATTGAAGGAATGCACTTTCATTGAGGAAGGAGTAGGATTGCAGAAAAGAGAACGACGCAGACAGACCAGTTAGAACTTTTTCTTGCACTAAGAACGCAGAAAGGTGCTGCTCCAACCAACGGGCCTAGCTCAGTTGGTACACCCACGACCTGTTGACATACAGACCCGAGTTCGAATCCAGAGACAATGAGATGAACAGAATAGAATAATTCTCAAAAAGAAAAGGAAAAAAAAGAGGTGCTGGTCCCATTGATAGGAGGCATGGCCGGAAGGTTCCCTTTTTCTCAAAAGAAAGACTTCCAGGTCTGTGAACCCTGGATGCCACGAAAAGAGAGAAGTTTCAGAAGAATAGTAAGATGGTCATCTAAAGGTAGCCAGACGGCTAAAGTGTATCGCCAGCAGCCGGCAAATGACACAGGCATACAGCAGTCCAGAAAAGATAGACGGTTTGTTTCAAATCACAGATACCAATTACTATATCACAGAGGTATGAATTTACAAAAGAGGAATTGAGAAACGGGAATATCTTAAAGAACCTCGGTTGAGCACTGTGACACTCTATTTGCCAAGATTCAGTTCCTGCTGAAAATGTTAGGTAATCAACATGTTTTCTTCACACAAACAAGCAGGTGGCTTTACAAAGTAGATGAGATGCAATGAGATTCAATCTCAAACACACAGGCAGCAAAGGGGGAATACATAGAACGGTCTTTATTTCTCAATGAAAAGGGCGCAAACACTGCTTGATGAACAAAAGCTTCAAGAAGCTATTATGATTAACTGAGCACATATGGTCATGCATCCTGCGTCGACTACAGATGCCCCTCTAGCAGGATGGACATCATCGTGGCAACACACATACCCTGTGAACCCTGAGGTTGCAGACGCTACCACCAACAAATCGACATTGTCTGCAAGTGGAAGGCCCTTCTTTTTGACATGAACCTTGAGAATTTCCTCCCTGCCAAGCCTGTTTGGTGGCTCCACCTACGGCATCACACCAAAGTCATAGTAGGCAAAAACAAAAATCACCCATTAGCAGAACACCCTCGACTCCCGTTTCCTTCCCCACAACCACCAATAAAGTACAGCCGCACCGAGCACCATCAATTCAGTTTGATTCCGTTTTCAATACACCACAAAGTTCACAAACCACAAAACAATGGCTCACTTATGGCAACCATCCATGCCCAACACTACAAACATAGTTTGTGTTCTACTGCGAGGCGCAAGGCCTCGATAAGCCCTGCTGGGCCCTGTTTGCAACAGTGTCGGCCGCCCTAAGTGAAGGCAGGCCCGACCAAGGACAGGAGGCCTATTTTTCGATACAATGGAACTGGGGAAATTCAGGCAGTTGCGCAGTGCCAGTTGGTTGAGAGCGCCCAGGCCCTGGCTGCCTTTTTGGAATGGAACTGAGGCAGGCCCTGGGCCGGATACGCAACATGGACCGAACACAGGCTGGGGGCAGTTGAACACGAGTAACTGCTATAGGCCCCTGGGTCTGATTCCCTGGACGGGGGCTCAGCCACTTGGGGCCTACACGAAGCTTCTGGGCAGGGGCCCAGCGGAGCCAGGCCGCACACAGCAGGCAGGCCACTTCCATATAGGAAAGTGCCTGCTCCCGCATTTGGCATTGGGGCACTGGCTGCATGCTGCGCTAATCGCTGGCCAGCGCCCATGCGCTCACGGGCGAGCAGGAAGAGTAGGCAGCCATTGCCGAACTGCCCTGCGCTGTGCTGGATGGGGCGCGTGGTGGTCCCTGGGTGCATGTGGCATCTGTGTGTGGGGGATCGAGATTGCGAGTGATACGAGAGACATACCTGGTGCTTGAGGCGAAGGGCAGTGGCCGAGATCTGCTCGTACTTCGGGGAGCTGTTGACGTCACCAGCAGCATTGTAGATAGGCTAGATAGGATCTGCCATTTGTAGTCTGGGCGCAGAGCGCCAGATAGGATGTCGACATTGGTTCACTGTTGATGATGCTGAGACTATTCCAACATTGTCACTTATGAGCTTTTGCTGTGCTCTTATTTGCTGGAACTCGAGTTGCAATTCTGCTTTTGGTTCGCGGTCACGACTATCTGGTTTCGTGATGCGGCTAGGTTTCTGGAATTCGCTTTTCCTTGCATTTCGGTATCGGAGCTGTGGTACGTTGCGCTAATCTGGCGATGTCTTCTGCCTATAGGGTACATGCATGCGGTCTGCTGGGTGAGTGGCCGTAGGGAGTGTGTAGTGAGGAGGGCGAAGGCAAGCAGGCAACCCAGGAGGAGAGAGTATCGCCAGGAAGGCTACGCAGTGTGATGAGAACTATCTGATGTACGATTGATGCTGAGGTGGAATGGCGGTGTAATGCTGGTCGTGCCAAAGCAGCGATTGGTCATCACAATCGGCATCAGGTCATCTGGTGAAAATATCTGTGGTTGGGGGCAGCTATTTTGACATACGTTGCTCTTAACCTTATCTACCCTCTTCAACACTTCTTACCGTGAGGATGTGTGTTCTGTCTTGAGAGTCCTCTCATGTGAGAAGTCTAGCGCGCTCGACCTTGAGAGTCGGCATTGTTCACGTGGAGCATCTGGAAGGAGAGGGCAGAGCTATCTGAAGGGCCCTGGACGAAGCACTGGGTCATGGTCACCATGCCAACCCACCAGGAGTAGAGCACGCATGCTTTGCTGCTTTGTCCTTTGTCTGCCTGCTGTGCTGTTAGATGGGTTACGAGGGGCAGGCCAGCCCTACAGGGGGGACGAGTACCGGACGTCTATAAATAAGTACCGGCGGGGTTACCTTCCATTGGCTGTGATCGTCGTCCTGTCTGTGACATTAAATAATTCTTAAAGAATTCGGGGGCCGTCCTTAAACGCCTCTTGATCAGCCAATTGGTCGGTGTAAGGCTCGCTGCACGCGAGGGTAAATATGGTGCAGGGCTGGCCGGCTCAGCAGTGACTCGGGGCAAAGGGGTGGGCCGTGTGCACACCTTCAGACACGCTGTCTGGATCGCTCAGAGACACTGACGTCAAGAGACTCAAGAATAATTGAGGGAGGGGTAGATTTCAGGTGATAAGTTCGTGTACAATTCCACTCTGCAAACAGCCATGCAAATGATTTATTTTTATTTTGCTTAGTTAGATGTTACAGCCATTAACACATCCCACAAACAGCATAGCTAGAAATTACTGTTTCTTCTTATCTGCTTTCTGTTTGCGAACTAGTCAAATTAAATAGTCTCGTTTGTAGGTATCTGGACTTACCTGTTGGACCCAAATGTGTAAATAGCCACCAATTAATTATTTTATTAAATTTATTTATTTTAAATCGGTTTGTGCACTACGCTGCGGTAGGCATCGAGTGTGACCTAGTGTAGATGTGTGCAGTGCTGTAGCTTACGAGTGACAGGGAGAACACTAACGAGGACGATAGGATTGAGTGACAGGGAGAACACTAACAAGGACGATAGGATCCTACGATCGGCAAGGCGCCCGTTGGCCCACGTGGCATTAGGACCCGAGAGTGACAGGCTTCTGTTCTGCCAGCTTAGGGAGAGACAGCAGCAGCAGCGGAGAGCTAGGGCCACAGAGGCAAGCAGGGCATTTGCAAGCGAAGCTGCTACTTCAGCAGCCATGGCCACAGCTGCGCAGCAGAGCTCCCAGGCCAGTAGTTCAGGGACTGTAGGGGCGACGATTGCACAGACCCTAAGTCAGCCCGCTGGTGTTATGGCAAGCCAGCAGTTAGTGTTGACTCCCGAGGAGGTCGCCATACAGAGAGCAGATGCTCAAGAGGCACAGCGACAGAAGGCGTTAGCAGAGATAAAGGCAGAAAAGGAGAGGATGCTCAGGCGTAAGTCAAGGATGCAGCGGAGACAAGCGGACCTTAAGAGTTAGAGGAGATGGCCCTGACTCATATGGATGATGATGTGAAGGTCGTGAGAACCGCCCTGCTAGATGTAATAGAAATGCAGGACTATCACACGACACTTTTGCAGGACATTCAGCAGAGCCTGGCCGTGCTGTCTGGGCGAGTTCAGGTAGCACCATCACCATCAGGGCCCGGTGCGTGGCCTGTGGTACAGCCTCCTCCTTTTGTCCCACCGGTGAATGGAGTATCCCCATATTCTCCAGCATCGGTACAGGCCACTTCCCTATTATGTATGCCTTTGACAGGCGGGTTCTCGACAGGTCCTAGTGTACAATTTCTTGTACAGACAGTGTATTCCCAACCTCCGTTACAGACTGCCATAACTGGGCAGCCTGCTGTCTCGCAGCCGGCACAGCCGCATGGCACACAGCCCCAACAGCAGCTAGTGCAGCAGCCTGCACCCCAAGGTCCGCAGCCTGGAGTGGCGCAGGTACCGAGACAAGGACAATGGGTTCCGAAGACTGTCATCGCCTCACCTAAACCCTTCTCACGGGATAAGAGGGGCGAAGACCTTGAAACATGGTTGAGGTTAGTAAGTAAAGTGCAAGTTGCCCTTGCCGCATGAGGAAGTGCTTGTGGCTGCCTCCTGCCTAGAGGGGAGTGCAGCAAGTTGGCTAAGCAGGTTAGTACAACTACATGGATACGGACATGACTTCCGCGCTTGGGCAGTCGACTAGAGATTGGATGATTTCGGTGGAAGAAAGATGGCATGATCCGCTGGAGGATCAAAAAGTAACTGACGCGATCCTGACTTTGAGCTCTAGGTCATTCAAGTCAGTAAGGCATGCCACAGACACAGTGGAGCGTCTGATCTGTGTACCTGGAGTACATTATGACCCCCAGGTCTTACTTACCACTTACCTGGGGTGTCTTCCCATGCCACTCAGGAATCTGTTGGCGGGTGAGGCAAACATCAATGTACACAACTTCCCCTCGTTCAGCAAGGAGGAAGCCCTAGACTTAGAAGCAAAAATAGGGCATGGACACCAACCACAACGGACGGTGGGAAAAAGGCACTGCCTCCCAACCGAAAGGCGAAGGGTCGCATTATGTTCGTCGATAACGATGGCTCAACCATCGAACTAGATGACAACATCCAGGAGGGAGTAGGTTCAGAGGCAAGCAGCGTAGAGGCTTTAGGGGGTGGAGCAGTCGCTGCCTCAGTCCAGAAAGGTAAGGTGACCGATAGATGCCGCGGAGGCTCCCGGTCTAGGAGTCCAATAGACCCCAACGCTCCTCCATGGGAGAAAGTGGGTCTCACAGAGGACGTGTGGAGAGACCGATACACTCGGCCGGCTTGTATAGGTTGTGGCCAATATGGCCATAGCCAGTTGAAGTGCGGAAATCAGAAGGTGACGGAAAAGATCCCGCCTACAATGGGGCAGGTGACGGGATCCTCCGCTTCCCAGGGTAGCAATGTAGCCAGTAGTTCTGGCATTGCTTCGGGAAACACGTCGGGCCAGTAGGAATGGCAGTTGTTTCTGCTAGGGTCGAGATGGTGGACACACCCCCACCATCTCGAGAGATGGCCCAAGCTATTGACTCCGTTGTCGTCCCGCAAACACATTCAGACCCATCGATCATCTGTTCGATGAATGTGTTTGAACCCTTAGAGGAGCTAGAGGAGGAGTGGTCTAGATCGGACCCGCTAGTTTCTAGGACGGCCATGGCCAAAGCCCCTAAGGGTGAGTTGTTCGTCGGCGAGGTAGTTATCGGCGGCCGGGGCCTATTATGACACTTGCTCGACGCAAAACTTTTTCAGTCGCGCGTACGTTGAGAGGTTGCGCTTACAGGGGCAAGTGCAGCGCCGGAATCTACCCGTGTCAACAAACAACACATGGTAGTCACTGACCACATTAAAGGCGTTGAGTGTCTTTTCCCGTATGCGGGAGGGGAACTGAGAGTATCGTTCCTAATCAACGATAATCTCCCAATGGATATCCTATTGGGTATGTACTGTCTTTCGATTGTACAACCCCAATTTGACTGGGACAAAAAAGTGGTCAAACACACTTTGCCTGGAGGGGGGACCGCCAAATTACGTAAGTTTAAAGCTAGTAGTCTGATTGAGTCCTA